TGACAAACGGAGTCGCCGGCTGGAATTACTTCGGTGACGGCTGCAACAACCTCCGTACCCATAATTCTAAGTCTGTGGAGGATGTGAAAGGAGAAGAAGAGCGTTTTGGTCTTTTAGGGAAGTGAATGGTGTATATATATAGAGAGAGACAAGCGTTATGTAATTAAATAGCTAAGCAACTACGAATGGCTAATTAAAAGTAAACCATGACGATCAAAGATAATGTAAACAAGGACCACTGAAATAATAATAAAATTAAGTCAAGAATGAAATATGAAAGGTAATGCAAACATTGACCGGTGGAAGAAAACAAAAGCAAGTCAAGAATATAAAGACAAACAACCAAGAATTGATTATATATATATTAACCTCCGCGTGGAAGTGGTATGGTTGCTCCAATATAATTTTACCTAATCTTGTTGACGATTTCAACGCATGCATATGCATTATCACCAATCCCTCCCTCCAAGTTCTCAATTCCAGGAAGCTTCAGCTAACTCTTGCTAATGCTTCAAACCAGATGGGCAATCGATCGATGACCAACCAATCCATCATGCATGCTGATTGCTGAGTAACCTCAGTCAACAGTGTACGTGCACTACAAAAAAGAAGAGATTTAGGGACCAACATAGGGAACGGGTTTTTATATCTGTCTCCGAAAATAGGTTTATAAGTGTTATTAGGGACAAGTGGACTAAATTGTCTCCATAGGATAAGTAATGCGGTTTTATTAGATTTTTATTTAGTTTAGCTGTCCCCTAAAAGAATAAGTCTGGCGGAATATTAAATCGAATTGAATTTTCTTAAGCCGACGAATTAGCAGGGATGTTTTTGGTCCCCAAAATAGAATGCGTGAAAGGGTTGGGTTGATATTAGTAGATTTTTTGTCTCTTAAACTTTGCTTTGATTATTAGGGGAGTTTTAAGCTTTTAATTGATTCATTTTCCTTGCCTGGTGGTTACGCGTTAGGATTAACATGGATTTTTTTCTTTTTCTTTTCAATCTTGAACTAATCCTTTTTTCCTTTTCCTATTTTTCTTCTTTTTTATATTGGAACTTGCAAATGATCAATTTCTTCCTTCTAATTTTGAAATAGTAGTTTCGTTATCATGTTTATTAGTTTCCTTGTCATATTTGGATTGTTATGAGCATTTCTATAATGCTTTACAGTAGTGGCGATTAGTGATGGCATTGGGATGGGGCGAGTACCTCAATATTCATGCCCCATCCCACTCTAATATGGGTCGGGCGGGTAAAACCCGCGCGGGTATGGGATGTGACGGGTCGACCCATTCTCACATGTTATTTCAAAAATACACACGCAAATTTTACTTTTACGATAAAACGAAGGGGAAAACATTTTATGAATGAAAAATAGTGATAATAGAATGAGTAATTGAGTCTAACCAGTTAAAAGGATTGACTCTAATTAGTTGAAGAGAAGTCAAAATAGGAGAAATATGTATAGATATTGTAAGAAATCAAGGTAGAATGAGCCGGGACGGGCATGGCTGGTCGGAAGTAGACACCCATGCCCCGCCCCATGCTAGTGCGGGTCGGGTAATACTCGCCCCGTCGCGGGTCAAATCTGATAATAACCGTGGGACGGGTTCAAATTGCCATCACTACTGGTGATTCGAGATACAAATTAAAGTTGAATAATAACCTTAAGTGTACAAGTTTAGGTTGTATTTAAGAAAACTTGTTCTTTTATATTATGTTACAACTTCAATTTGTGGCCTAACATAAAGGTACTAATTCAGTTTGTACCATAAAAGAATTTATACAAAATAGTATAAGTACAACCTGAAGCTGTACCACAACATTAAATGTACAAGTTCAATTTGTATCGTAAAGACAAAAAACTAAAGCACCAATATTTTAAGACATTGTAAAATTCCTCATTTATAAATATGTTAGTTTGATTTTGCTAAACATCATATTCAACTATACAAAAACAATTTTGATATCAGGAAGGAGATGCTCAACAAAAAAGAAGAGCTATCGTAAGACAATCAAGATTCATTGTGCTCTTCCAAATGACATTCGTTATGATATACTTAAAAAAAATTAGACTTTCATTACTAGTTCATACCATGTGGTACTTCTTGGTATGTAAATACGATTGTACTATATGGTATAAAAGTTTACCATAAAGCATCAAATCCTCAATAAATTGTGAAATCTTAAAATAAAATAAAACCCTCAGTTTTAAATCCACGTAGCAAACGAGCCATGTTGCTTAAATGCCAACAAGAATGGACCTAGGAGATAACTAACTTTAACATACACTGAACCATATCAATTGAGAGGAATTTTACAATGCTTTAAAGTATTGATGCTTTAATTTTTGCTTTTATGATACAACTTGAGGTTGTAGTTATGGTACAGCCACAGGTTTTACCTATACTTTTTGCATAAATTCATTTATGGTACAAACTAAAGTTGTACCTTTATGTTATAATACAACTTCAGTTTGTACTAACATTATATTACAATTTTAACTTATACTTTGACGGGAGTATCAATGCTTTAAAACATAATAAAAGTGTGCATCAACTGATTTATGAATGCACATGCAGTACAGTGGATGTTTACATTGACACCTGTACAGCATTACAGTAATTGTTCTTATACTAATTATTTTTGAATCCATACCCCAACTCCATTGAATGAATCGAAAGCAACAGATGGAGCTTGACCACATTAGGATCAAAATCCCCAAAACTTATAATTAGCCCACTGCAAAAATCTATCTACACACTACAAAATATTGTGGCTATCCCAGCGGTTCCCTAGAAGGGGTTTATTAAACTCTTGCTATAATTTCCTGAACTTGTCATATCAGCGGGTACTTTCAACGGTTGCATAACCGCTGCTACGATTAAAGACAAATACGATCAAAACATCTACCACTCCCATCTTCAAATAGAATAACAAAAATCAAAGGAAGGGGAAAATCGAAAAATGTTGGAGCTGCGATTGTGTTATTCGTCGGCTCTAAGCTTCGAATTGCGGAGACGCGGACCAGGCCTGGGTCAACAATTTCACCGGCTTAATTAGATGGTTGAAGATCCCCTGCACTGGAGGATAGAAGGCGGAGAGGATGGAGATTGACTATGGGGACGACATCTTGCACGATCCAATAGGCAAGTAGTAGATCTAGGGTTTGGAGAGCTCCGTTCGATTCTCCCTCCTTCGTCAGGGGAGAACTACATATTGTCCCCATGTCCCGACGAGACCTCGGCTGCGGCCGTGACAGCTTCCGGAAGCATTACGAGTGCAATTCTGGCTCTAGAAGATACCGCTCCGTCTTCAACCGAGAGCCGAGGTACCAACCAGTCATATTAGAGATGTTTAAGATTAAGTTGTTACTTGTTTCAATAAACTGTTTATATGAATTGGAGTTTGGGGTTAAATGGATTATCTGCAGTGTTCAGGGTTAGACGGTTCTACTAGAGTTTCTCATTGGATTTCTGCAAAACTGTTTAGATTGGTAAGTACTTAATCTTGTAGGCGGTTTGATTGGGAATTACATAGTTTGCTGCTATCATTGAACTGGGACTTGTTTCTACCTGTTGTGAGTATATAATCTTTACTCAAGTATTGTTACATGAATGCAATAGGGATCTTGTAGAGTTGCCGTTTATTATGAACCTTGATATTCCACCTTATACCGTGGTTCTTCAATTGCTCATTGAAGCTCTAGGTGATAATAGGGTTGTTACTTATGGTTAGATTTTCCCCCTGCCTCATGATATTGCAGCTTATGGTTGGGTTTTCCCCCTGCCTTACTAGAAAGATTTTATTGCTTGCCTGCTTTGGGTATTTCACATACGGATGACAACATTTCTATTTAAACTCTCCTTTGTTTGAGTTCAAATTATTATATATAAGACCTCAGCTCCTTTACACAATGCTTTCCAATTCTCTGTATGTCAGATGCAAATTTAATAGAACCGGGTTCTGGCAATTATTGTTGGTTGATGTGTTTGATGTACTAGTTTAGTGTTGGTGTTAGTCTATAAATCATAGTGGCTGAAGTAATTTGGCTTTCATGCTTAGTGCTAAGTAAGGTAGCACAATTATGTCACAATCATGTCCTTGTGAAGTTGTGATCCCCTTTTTAAACTTACCAAACAGAGTAAATTGCAGGCAATTGTAGAGTAATTCCAGGGATAAGATAGTTACTAGAAAAACAGAGCTAACTAAAGGTAAATGTGGAGTGCAGGATCAACAACAGGCGACGATGAGGAGATGGTTGGATACAGGTTCCACCCATCTGAAGAATAACTGGTGAATTACTATTTGAAGCAGAAGATGTTGGGCCGTGATGATGAAGTTCGCTGCATGGCCGAAGTTAATGTCAACAAGTTCGAACCTTGGGAGCTACCAAGTAATTCTTGAGTATATGATCAAACACCAGTTACCAAATTGAGATGGTATTTATACATGAAGCAGATGTAGCTAAATGAACAATTGAGTAATGATGAGATGTAATATATACTGTTGTTTGATGTGGGCATGAGAACCATCTACAGAGGTCGATACAGAGGAGGCAGTTTGGTATTTCTTGGCTGCTCCAGATTACCAGTATGGGAACAGAAAGTGAGCTAAAAGGACAACCAAGGCCGACTACTGAAAACCAGCCAACAAGGAAAGGTTGGTTCGGGCTGAAAGCACCGGGGAGGTAAGATTTCCTTACTAAGTCCAAACTACGAAAAACTCCAAGGTGCATATGATGGAAGCCACGATTGTTGAGTTCAACTCCAAGAAAGTAATTTGCCTGTATTAGCCATTATGTCAGCAGGTAATGCTTGTTAGGTGAATCTGTTGGCTTTTTATTGTGTGGTTTCATGGTTAAAGTTTCCTTTCTATGTGTTATTTAATTATTGATTGTGGTGGCTTGTGGACTGAGGTCAGGTTGGTGTATTTTCGTGCAGGACATCCCTACACACTTAACCGGTCCGGTAGGCCTGTAATCTTGACCCGTGATCCTTATGCAAATGCACTTGAATTCACTCAAGTCGATTGACTTCTGCAGCTTAAGCTCACAATGGCATTGAAATTTTTATAGACGTAAAAATTGTTAATTTCAAAAATTATCACTGATCACCTTTTTAATATTACTTTACAGGAAGCTCAAAGGAGTAAAATGGGAATTTAAAGCATTTTAGAGGACCAACTATGGTGATCTGAATCCATACTTCTGGTATTAATTAACGCATTTTACTTGGTTTGATATTTACTTTGTATGAACTTTCAAACAGTTCACTTCCGTTTGAACCATCTACAATACATGCTAATAATCTAGAATCCGCTTTACATGCCCTTTATTGTGTTCAGTTATGGCTCCATTTGAACCATCTAAATTAATGCCCTTATTAGAAGTGGCTCCCTTTATAAGTGAAGTGTGATTTGTTATTGCTTGTTGCGCGCTTATTTCTTCTTTCTCTTGGTCTGGTTGTTGATCTAGATGAGCCGGGAGTTCAGTTAACATTTTTATTAAGGCCAAAAATTATTGAGCTTCAGATTTGGGATACAACAAGCCAATAACAATTCAAAAGGATTGTACACTTAACCCCTGTGTATGTGTCCTATTGCATGATATAGTAGGATTGATAAACAAGATAAATAGCTGTGGCATCCTTCTTCCTACTTAAGGTTCTCATTCTTCCTCCTTTTCATTTGGAATCCTTTTCTGTATTTGCTGAACTGATTATGTCCTTTTTCAGCTGGTCTTGAGCTGCTGCTACTTGGGTTTCTCTGCATTTTCTCATTTGGGGTTTATACGTTTTCCTCTACTTATTTCTCAGGGCTTCTAGATTGGAAATCAACTCTTCATAGCTGCTCTGTTGCTGGTTAGATTAATCAAAGATAATTCCCTACTGCTGGTATGCTGCAATCTATTTTAATACTATTAAAAATTATCAAGTAACTTTTGATAATGTACTCTACAGAATCTGAACACAGAATGTGTGTTGTTTCCAGGAGGTGTTTGAATGTAGATTACCAAACTCAGCAATGATTGTTCATAAGGTACAGTAGATGAGGATTCTCAAGCACATATTATTGAGCATTTGAACTGCTTAATATGGTTCTAAGCTTGCTATTTTATGGATTTTCTAAGCAGATAAGTGTGACAGTAGCTGTGGCAAATTCCTTCCAGTCAGGGTGCAAGTGTTCATTAGGCTCTCGTATGCACCCAGCTGTCTAATAGGTATACCGATCATCAAGGTGCAACTCTAGATACTTTATAGTGTTTTGAATATAGCTCTAGATGCTTTATAGTGCATAGGCCATGACCAACTGATTGATTTGTGTTGTTGCAGATGCTATGCAAGTGGTTTGTTCAACTTCTTTTGAGTACTTACAATGTTGTGAGTAGTAAACTATATTTCTTTGGATTATGTTTGTATATTTATATTTATTAGCATTTTACCATGTAAATAATATTATCTTGGATCATGAATCATGAAATATTGATGGTATAATGTACTGTATGATTTGGCTATGAAGAATGATATTTACAGAAAAATTTGCAAAAAAAAAAAAAATCTGGTTCTGGATTTATCTATAGTGACTAGAGCAATTGCAACCAAGTTATAGTCACCAATTTAGGTAATTTACTTTTAGCGACGGATTTTAGTTTGTTCAAAAAAATTATCCGTCTCTCTTTAGTGACAGGTGCGAGTTGGTGGCAAATGATATAACGACAAATTACGCAGGGGTTTTAACCCTTGCTAGTTAAAACAACGAATATGACCATTGAATTTTATATTGATTTGTAGCAGGGGTTTTAACCCATGATATAGTAGCAAGGGTTTGAAACCCCTGCTATAACCCTTGCATGGAACTTTCACCGTGGGTTGATCAAAACCCTTGCTATACCTAGCAGGGGCAGCATAGGCAAGGGTTCATGCAGGGGTTGGTAAAACCCTTGCTACAACTCGTAGCAGGGGTTAAAACCCTTGCTATAGGTAGAAAAAACCCTTGTCATAGACCCCTTTTTTAGTAGTGACAATTTATGGCTAATATGGCTTTTGGTGTGCTGGGCCTTTTAGCCAAAATTTTGGCGGCACTTTCTAGCTAAAATTTCAAACCTCGGCCAGACAAATAAATCATATTCCATTTTCACCGCAATGCTGCTTCCATCTATTGGCGGCACTGTCTTTGGCTTTGGCTGCGAAATTCAATTTCCCCGTTGATTTTCTTTCCTTAAAGATAGACACAAATCCTTTCCCTCCTTGCATCTCTGTTTCCCTCCTATTCCAACTTTTTAGCCCTATATTTGGCTTTAGCGGCGAAAATCCTGCCTCACAGAATCGATATAGTCAAGAACTTTGTTCCTTCAATTGATTCTGCAGATATCTGTTGAGTTTTGTGATTGTTCTCTGCCTCCGTCCGGTAGGTTTCAGTTCACGTTCTGATTTCAAGTGATGGTTCACCAGTAAGAAGATCGCTGTCCGCTGGGATCTAGATCTATAAAATCTTTTTCTACTTGCTGCATATTTATTGATTCTTCTTGTTTTGTCTAGCTGCTTTTATGGGGAATCTGGGAGTCAGTACAATTACAAAAGCAGAAATCAAGGGGGCGATTCAGGGGCTCCGCCTTGCATGAGCTAAAGGTTACAGGAAGGTTCACCTTCAAGTGGATTCCATGACGGCTTACCTCTTCTTCACTTCGAAGGACCATGGCAATGAAAGATTCTTTAACCTTGCCGATCAGGTCGAGCAGATTCTTCAAAGAGATTGGGAGATCAAGATCTCTCATGTTTATAGAGAATGCAATAAGGCGGCGGATTTTTTGGCTAATAGAGCACATACCGCCAGTTTTGGTTTTCATGATGTTGATATCTCTGATCCGGGTCTGAATTACTGGATCCTGTATGATACCTTGGGCATTGCCCAATCTCGATTAATTTAAGTGCCAGGCAGGGGCGCCCTTTTAGCGTCCCACTTTTTTACCAAAAAAAGTTCATGATCATTGGGACAGAGTGCTGGTGGATCTGTCTTTTAGGGTTTATCATTCTTAGATGTTTATATGCTAACTGTTTGGATTGAGAAAAAAAGTTATTCAAGCTGCATCTGTGTTTCTCTTTTCCGACTTGATGTCCCCTGTTTGAGTTCTTAGAGTAGACGACGTTGCAACATATATATGTATTTAGTCTTCTCTTTTCTTTCTCATTATAACAGTGATTATGAAATTATTTTGCAGCAATGGTTCGTGCAACGAACAAAAAAGTTGAATTTAGATCACATCGTCCGCTCATATGTAGACACAGGAACCCAAAGCATGTCACGTGTACCAGAAACTGAATTGCCTTCCATAATTCTTCAATCCAATTTGCGTGCATCTGGTAGTGGAGAACCGGAATCGTTGAATGTGGAAGGTAACAAAGTTGTTTACTGTTTTATTTCTATTTGTATGATTGTCCTCTTTGAGCTGCGGCTTGTATTGTTTCTAGTTATAGATTGTATCAGCCCTAAAAGCTTGTGTGTTTGCTGCTTCTTGATTTTTCAGTTTGAGTTTAGGAACTAATAGAAGCCAACCAAATTTCATTGCTCTGAGACTTCTCTGTGTCCATTTGTTTTGGTACTTGCATTGCATGTTTCATATATGACATCAGTGGGTTGTTTTTCCAAGCATCTCCGTAGTGTGAATTTGTTGTTTCATACATTGGCAGAGTCATGATTTGCTTCAGTTTGGTACTAATTCACTTGTGTCTTCATTATTTGTACTCCATGCTTTTTTGCCCCAATTGATTTCCTACTTCCATTTGATTCAATTAATGTCCTTGCCATCCATATATTTAACTTTTAAATTTTTCCTGCTTACACTTTCAGGAGCCGAGAAGAAAGAATATTTGTTGGCCAGGACATTCTGTGGTATGCAGAGATAAGACTTTAGTATTATTATTTTTTTGTTAGAGAGATACTAGAACAAATTATGAATTTGAAACTTGTTATCTATTTCTTTTTTAGTTTTTCTTTCTCTAGTTTTACGAGAGAATGTTTATCCTTTTAAAAGATTAATGTTAGTTTATGGTGTTGGATTGGATTGCATTGTAGTAATTTTGTTTTAATTTTTATGGAGATACTTTTATGACATTTTTCTATATTGAGTAAAAATGTTTTATGTCATTCCTAAAAGTTCCACTAAATTAGTCACAATTCACGAGATAACATGTGCCATCAAACTCACATAGGCGACAATCTTTCGTCCCCAAAGACACTGTTTAAGCAAATTGATGCCCCTGAAGAAATTGCTTAAAGGACAATTGGTCATCCATAACAGTTAAATAGGTGACAATTAGGCGTCCCCAATATACAGGGTAAGGAACAATTAATCGTCCTTATAAGTGATACATGTGACAATTAGGCGTCCCCAAAGACACATGCTAAGGGACAACAAGTTGTCATACGACTTTCATAAGGGACAATTTGTTGTTCCTAAAAGGTGTATAAGTGACAATTCCTCGTCCCCGATACACAACTAAAGGGACAATTGGTCGTCCTTAAAAGTCATAGGTGACAACTTGTCGTCCCTAAGGATATGGTATAAGAGACCACTCGCAGTCATTGAATAAAGCTTTTGGGGACGATTGTTAAACTTCAATTTAATACCTATAGGAACGACATGTCGACCTTGTAAAAAGAAAAGAGGACTTTTATTTATCCCCAGATAGGCCCAACACAATCAAGAAATTGTTTATGTGGGATAACACTTTGTCCCTGCAAATGATGTTTAGGGGACGACTAATTGTCGCTACAGTTATAGCTATGGGGACGACGTGTTGTCTTTCACATAAAAGAAACGAGACGACGACTTGCGAGTATCGGGGACGACTGTCGTCCCTAGTAATGGGGACGACCTAGATTTTTGTCGTCCCCAAAAGAATAGAGGACAAGAGTATAGGGAACCACACATTGGGGACGACTAAGTCGTCCCCAAAAGCTATAGGAACGATTTTTCCTATTTCCGGGGACGACTTTCGTTGTCCCCAAACCTTCTCTTTTTTGTAGTGGTGTAACCATCAATAACAGAAACTAGGGTGGGCATATA